CCCTAGACCCTAAACCCTTAACCCTTAATCCTTAACCCTAAACCCTAAACCCTAAACCCTAAACCCTAAACCCTCAACCCTTAATCCTAAACCCTGAGTCAAAAACCCTGAATCCCTAGAAACAGCCAATCATGGCTTAGGAGTTTAGGGGTTAAGGGGTTTTAACAAAATGCCGCAGAACTCTGTCAGGAAGAATCTGAGGAGAGCCTCAGAAAAGGTTGTGCCGGTGTCCGCAGCTCCTGAGAAATCAGAACGAGGCTCGGGTTTAGGGTTTAGGGCTTAGGGATTTAGGGTTTAGGGATTCAGGGTTTAGGGTTTAGGGTTTAGGTTCAAGTCGGTTTCACGGCTGGGGAACTCAGGCAGGCTGTCCCGGATTGGTACACAGCTCGGGGTTCAGGCTTTTGGGAGCAAATAGGATGTCCCCTAAACCCTAGACCCTAAACTCTAGAGTGGCTGCGGGTCTGGGTTGATGAGTTTAGTGTTCGGTCTTGATGTTCAGAGTTCAGGGCTTAGGGTTTGGGGTTTAGGAGGTCACTAGTTTTGCGTCTGGGCTCCAGTCATGCACCCCTCTCCTTCTTGCCAGCCTTCTTAGGACGCCTCAACAAACCATACAAACTGTTAGGTTTATGTGTGAATTTCGTGTCGTCTCGCTGTAACAAACAAGTCTTCCTGGAGTCACAGTCGTGTTTGACAGCCCTCCTGCAAAACATGGAATCAAGATCAAGCTCCTCAGCCTACAGCGACTACTGGGGTTTAGGGTTTAGGGTTTAGGGTTTAGGGTTTAAGGTTTAGGGTTTAGGATTTAGGGTTTAGGGTTTATTGATAAGCCCAAACAGTTCTCAAGATTAAGACCTAAAGCATACAACCCAAGCCCTAAATCCTCTGAAAACAGGTCACAAACCTTAGGCCAAAAAGCGCCGCGGCCCGAAGAAACCAAAAGGCTCGCGATCCCGAACATAACGGCAACAATCACAACTGTACGCTGCGTCCTCAAGCCTAATTCCTAAAGCCTACAGCCCTAATACACCTAAGCCATAAGCAAAAACCGTAACCCTTCCAGTAGCCATGGTAACCCGCATGGTAACCTTGCTATAGTAACCCTTTTGGTATACCCTATACTAACCAACCTAAAGTATCCCGTGCAGTGCGGCTTATTAGCCTTTGTGGTGACTTCTGTCGTCTATCAAGCCCCTTTTAAGACTACAGCAACCAATCCAAACCCCCTAACCCTAAACCCTAAACCCTAAACCCTAAACCCTAAACCCTAAACGCAAACCCCGAACGCCTTCCGTGAGCACAACCCGGCGGAAGCTACCCCCGGCGTCTCCGACCTTTTCAGTCTCGGGCTCAAGGCTGGGTTGCGTGGCTGGCTTGAAAGGTTAGGGTTTAGGGTTTAGGGGTTTAGGGGTTTAGGGGGGTTTAGGGTTTAGGGTTTAGGGGTTTAGGGGTTTAGGGGTTTAGGGGTTTAGGGTTTAGGGTTACTAAAAGGGCTACTACACGAGCTACTAAGGCAGTGTCACTACAAGGGTGCTATAAAAGAGTTATTGCACTGGCAAGTTACGGGGCCTTGCTCTCGAAGCTGCGCTAAAAAGGATTTGGGGCTTTGGGGCTTATGGCAGAGTTCCGGGCTCTTAGAGTTTACGGCTCAGGGTGCATGGCTGAGACTCAGGATCCAAAAGGTTCGGAGGCTTTCAAGCAAAAACCGGAAGGCAACGGTCTTTCAACAACTCCGTCGCTGACTTATGCCATGGATACTTCCCGAAGTACCTCGAAGTACCGCCGGTCACTCCAAAAGTACACTCTGAACAAATACTCGTGAAGCCGGCTCCGAGTCGTCACGCAGCGAGCAGCTCGATAGCTTGAGGGTGTAAGCTGTAGACTGTACCAGTTCGAAGCTGAACGCAATGTTAAGACGCATGGCGGGCACAAGTACAGGCGGCTGTGTGTTCTAGTACCCTAAACCCTAAACCCTCGTGGCCTTTAAATGGGCTCCTGAGGGCAGGCATGGGAATAGGATTTGACCCTGACCCCTGATTCGAACTTTCGCGAAGATACCCACAGTACCACAGCTCCAAAGCCCAAAAACCCGAGTGTTTAGGGTTTAGGGTGATATAACCCGAAGTGCGGGTTATATCTCTGAAGTACTGCACCTATAACCTTCTTGAACATCAAGAATGACTGAGCGCATGCTGGAAGCGGAGGAAACTTCGAGCTCCTACTGAGCCAAAGTTTACAGCTCCTCAGCTGCGCCACCTGTACCCTGAATCCTTGACCCTAAACCCTAAACCCTAAACCCTAAATCCTGAATCCTTGAAACATAGCCCCTTAACGAGATGCTTTCCCCAAAATGAGCCCCAGAGCTTGCGGCCACAAAGTTCCAAGAGCTTCTAGCCTAGACCTAGACCTAGACCCTCAACCCATTTCTTGGAAGGGAAGGAGGGGGTGGTATAGGTTTATTTAGGGTTTAGAATTAGGGTTTTGGCGTGTAGCTGGTTTAGGTCTACGATGTTTAGTTACGGTTTTTAGGGTTTTGGGTTTAGGGCTCAGGTTTGCGGGGAGGGGGTGGAACCTCGCGGACGCGCAGCTCAACCTTCTTCCTTGCGGCAGCCGCGGCTACGGGCGCGGCCTCTCACACTCGAATAGCCAAGATGGCACGAGATCGTCGGGGCTAATGAGGTTAGGGAGGCTTTGGTGTGGAAGGCTTAGCCTCTTGTTCAATAAGGAACACTGCAACAAAATGCACTATAGTAAAATGTACTACAATAATAACTATATGACATAGCAAAAGACATTACAGCATAACATAGTAGTCTGTAATATTATAGACAAGCCCCTAAACCCTAAACCCTAAACCCTAAACCGTATACTATAGACAAGCCAGTCTGACAACCGCATAGGACACCTTCCACACTCTTTCGAAGCCGCTGCTCTACGTCCCTCGCCAAATCCCAGCCCCTGACACTGGGCTCAAGTCCCATATGGTATATTTGTCAAGTATATAATTAGAATAGCATAGAACAGAATAGACTAGACTAGAGTAGACTAGAAAAGAATAGAATAGAAGAGAACAGAAGAGAACAGTTTAGAACAGAAGAGAACAGAACAGAACAACAGAACAACATAACTAAATAGACAAGAATATAACAGAATAGAAGAGAACAGAAAAGAACAGTTTAGAACAGAAGAGAAGAGAGCAGAACAGAACAGAACAACAGAACAACAGAACAACAGACTAGCAGAATAGAATAGAATAGACTATGCTTCGGCCGCAGCCGTAATTTGTTTGCCACCACTCCCGAGCATGGCTATCCCAGCATCGCAGCCCCCGGTGTTCTCGCCTTTCCCTGCAGGGCCGCTGCCACAGCGGGGTTTGACAGCATCTGCACCATCTCCTGCTCTAAGGTAGAACCCATGGGCCCCTAGTATGGGCCCTTAACCCTGGGACCCTAATATACCTACTATATACCCTATATAATCTATATATACTCTTGAGGGGCCCTAGAATCCCCTAAGGGCCCACGTTAGGGGCCCATGGGTTCTACCTTAGACCTGCGGTGCAAGCAGCTATGGTTTCAGGTGCATTGTAGGCCCATGGCTATGCCAGCTCTGTGTAGGTAATGTTGCCACGGTTGCCAGAACTATTCCGCTGCTCAAATCAAGCAAGATCATCAACTTTTTGCAATTTGCACGATGTGTCCATTTTCGAGAAAGCACATGGATGCTAAAGCTTCCAGCTCGCGAGCTACCGAACTCTTGTTCGCACAAGTTCAGGGCTTCATCATTTCACGGCCAAATGACCGGTCAAAACGCCCTTGCGGCACTCACGGGGTCGGGCGCGTCTCTCCTGGTTTGTGCTTGGCGTGTGTATGTGTGTGTATATATTGTGGTTGAAGCACGCGTACCTTCATTGTTGCCTCTCACACGATTTGACAATGCAACCTTGACAAGACTATTGTGCGATTCGTAGCTAGAACAGTCATGGCCAGATACTTACTTACTTACTTGCTTGCTTGCTTGCTTACTTACTTACTTAGTACTACTACCACCACCACCACCAACAACACTACCACTACCATTACCTCTACCACTACCACTACCACTACTACTTCTTGTACTACTACTACTACTACTTGTGCTACTGCTACTACTTCTAATTCTACTTCTTCTACTACTACTACTACTACTACCACTACCACTACCACAACTACCACTACCACTACCACTACCACTACCACTACCACTACCACTACCACTACCACTAAGATCGGAA